GGGTGGGGAAGGGGTGGGGGCGTAAATCGTTTTCATCAGAACAAAATAGTTCAATCTGTCACTTCAAATAGATTGCAGCAGGTTCAAAGAGTAAGCCATGAGTAGGTCCTACTTCTTTTCTGTCACTCTATTTTTTTCTGTCTGTCTTTTTGTCTTCCTTTTTCCTCCCTGCACGTAATGGACGTTATCGTGTCAACGTGATTCTCTTTGCGCAAACTGGAACGAAAAAAACGGAATAATATTGAAAATGTTGATAAGTAGCCTAGAAAATTATTTTAATCTTTACCCTATCTGTACGCGTGTTTTACTATCGTCTCCATACGACGTGGGGAACTCTTGCACTTTCCAAAGAGGAAATTTACTCGTTAATCCGATCCGTACGCTTTGCATAGCAGTCTGTCAAAATGATTTTTTGAGATATACTGAAAGTTTCAAAGTGGTCTTCGTACTAGAAATATTGTAAAATGTGAAGAATACAGCCCCGGGGGTACAAAATGACCCCAGGGCGTACGGATAGAGTTACGTAATGTGGACCTCCCTATCACATTCGCCCTCTGAGCCCTGGTGTGATGAAGTGGGCCGCGTGGACCGGGGAATGTGAAGCTCAGATATCGGAAAACTGGAGCAAAAGTGACATCCCGTGGTAGGTTTGACCTTTCACCCGGTTCTTCCACCTTGGGTCACCCACCATGACTGGGATGTGGACCAGTGCAGCAGACACAGAGGGAGGGAGGGAGGGGAGGAGGAGGGGGGGGGACGTTTGATCCGTGGAGATGACCAGACACCCGCCGTCTAGACAGTCAGCAGACGTGAGTGAGTGATAGGTCTGGGTGTACCAGACGGCCAGACGGGTGTTGTTTTGACTTTTGGCATGTCGGGTGTCGTCTGATTAGGTTTGAGACAATTGTTGATAAACTTTCAGAGCTGGGCCATCGGATTGCGCAGTGTTATTGAGTCGAACAATAATAATAATAATAATGATAGATAGCATTTGTATGACGCAAATCCCCGCTCAACAGCAAGCTCTGTGCGCTTTACAATCTATTCTATTGCCCCAGCAGACCTGAGAGCATTCTGAAACAAGCTCCACTTCCTGGGAAACATTCAGTGCAAGCGGCCATTTACGCTAAAACACTTACATACTGACAAGATCTTTCGCTGTCTATGGCCAGCAGGTACCCATTCCCACCTGGGTGAAGTGAGGAAAATTCGTGTAAAGTGTCTTTCCCAAGGACACAACGTCGGGCCCGCGGCTCGAACCGCCGAACCCGCAACCTCACGATTACAAATCCGGTAGCCTAACCACTAGACCACCGACGTATACTGTCTACAGCTCCGAGACTGATAGAGAGAAAAATCTGTCTCGAAGAATGAGGAACAGGGTGAGAGCAAAGTGTCAAATTAATGACGTTCTTGTTCACAGAGCTCATTTGGCATGATGCGGGGGGGGGGGGATTTTGAAATTCGTTAAGAAGAAGAAACTAAGCTTACAAATGTGGTGGCATCAATAAATATAGAGTGGAGAATTTGGCCTTGAAGTAACATTTTGAAAACACTTTTGTGTTGCTATGGTAACGGCTGCCATATTGGAATCTCATATTGAAAATGTACACATTTCTAAAAACTCTATCCTAAGGTTATAAAGGATGTTAAGATAGTAAAATAAGTGGTAGGCGGGGTTGAGGCAGCCTGCCGTCTACGTTCTGTCAATGGAGACGTAAAATAGCTCAAGCAGTGTATACATGTCAATGTGCTTTCGAACAGAGGAATTTTCCTCTTGCATAATCTTACTGTATCGGAAGTGGCCGTGTGACACCAGAGAGTTGGTGACACTCACAAAGTCTTTGTCGTACCACATCAAACAGAGGCAGAGAAGGACGGCCGGGGAACCGGTTGCATGGCCTGTTGTAATGTTTCACGTAACCAGC